CTGAAGGACTCACACCTATATTATGCTGACAATCTTCAAACACTTCTCAGGCAATGCACTTCCTACTCACTTAGCACTCACTCTCTGATATTCAAAGGACTGCCAGAGACCAGGAGCATTTGCTGAGCTCAAAGCAGACGTTGTGTCATTACTAACATACAGAGTCTTTGATTATGTTGTTTGCTTTCCTGAGGCAGCAGTAAGTATAGATGGAGTCAATAGATGAAAGGCTGATTTGCATGATGGACTGGGTTGTGTTCACAACTCTCTGTAGTTACTTACATTGTGGGGAACAGCAGTTGCCAAACCATGCTAAGATGCATCCAGATAGAATGCTGTCTATGGTGCATCAATAAAAATTGGTAAGAAGAGGGGAATTTGCAAGTGGTGGTGATCCCAGGTATCTGCTGCCTTGCTCTTCAAGATAATAGTAATCATGGGTTTAGAAGGTGATATCTAAGGAACCATGGTGAATTTCTGCAGTATGTTAGAGGTCTTACTGATTTTTCATTTTTTTTATTTTATTCTTTTACCAATTTCAATTTGGAGCTGTGAACTGGGAACAGTGTGCTAAAAATGCATTGTGGGTAATGGCTTGTGTTAACACGAAAACAGACTAGTGGGACTAGTTTAGTTTGGGAAACTTGGTCAGCATTGAGAAGTTGGATTGGAGTGTCTGTTTCCATCCTCAATGACTCAAAGACAAACAAGTTTTTGTTTGTGAGGCCAGGCCTGCAAGTTAATTGGTTCTGCAGACGCTTCATCACCAGGGAAGAGCATTATGTTTAAACAGACAACAGGAGTTGACTATTAATGAGGTCAGTATCTGGGAATTTGTTCCAGCAAGTCCGGAAAAGATCCTACGCTCAAGCAGATGGCAGATGTTGAATAACAATTGAGACCTCATGGAGGAGACAGTCAGATTGTCAGGAAGTGGTGAGATATTGAATTGGGTTTTGGACTGTGTTTTCCCTGAGAAGGAATCTGGCTGCTGATGCGGCATAGTGGCTCAGTGGTTAGCACTGCTGTCTCACAGTGCTAGGGACCCAGGTTCAATTCCACCCATGGATGACTGTCTGTGTGAAGTTAGCACATTCTTCCCATGTCTGTGTGTGTTTCCTCCGAGTGGAGGATGTTAAAGATGTGGAGGTTAGGTGGATTGGCCATGCTGAATTGACCATAGTGTCTAGAGATGTGTAGGTTAGAAATGGTTAATGCAGCATTACAAGGATGGGGTAGGAGGCTGGGTCTGGGTGGGATATTGTTCAGAGGGTGAGTGCGGACTTGATGGGCTGAATTGCCTGCTTCCACACTGGAGGGATTCTGTGATTCAATTTGTTGTCCTGTGCCCTCCATCCCCTCCTCCTTAACGTGTCAGCATTCATGGTTACAATTTAGGTTCCCAACCTTGCCCCACAGACCCTCCACGTTGAGGTCCCACTGCCCATGCTGAACATTACAATTTTTTCGACACCCAGACATATAGTGTATTGGGGAAAGGTTCATGCAAGGTCTGCTGGAAGTTGTAAAATGTGCTGAATGCCCAGTGTAGGGTAGAGCAGAAGCATTTTTCTTCCACTCTGTTTTTCAACCACCAGCATTTGAATTCCAATTTTTTGCAGAAGGAGCAGGTAAATCAACAAATAATATTATTAGAAACAATACATTTTCCAATACTGTAAGTACTGTATTGTTTTACCACCATTGTAAAGTTTAGCAGCAGTGTTAAACTTATTAGGAGGTGTAGCCTAATTAAAAATTATTAATTACTTCGTACATATTAAAATAAGGTAAGGGGTGTGCTGTGACTTCAGAATGCATTGAATTGAATTGAATGATATATTGCCCCTAGCATTTAACAAATAAATACAGTGAAAAGTATAATATGTCTCCACACTTTGGCACCATTTTCAGTTATAAAGAAGATATTAAGATATAAATAAAATATAACTAAAACAGAATTCTTCCTCTCTTCTTGTGCTCCGCTTCACATCTGGGGGTGGTCTCTACAACAGGGTCCATGCCCACCAATGCCCCCACATCGTAGTCCATTCCAGGAATCCCACTCTGGGGCTGCCATCGCTGCTACTGCTCTGCAGCCAGCAGTGGCACAATGGGCCTACCACGCTGCCACCGATGCAATCGCCGTTCCCATCGATCTGCTAGGAGTACCAATTTGGTCCTACACATTGCCATAGTTGAAGCCCAACGTCCCAGTTCCAGCAGAGGCTGCCCTGTCATTGCCGCCATCTTGAAAGTTGGTGCCACCGCCAAGTCATGCACTGGTGGGCCCAACAGCATCAAACATACCACGATCTGGTGCTATCTCTCACCGCTGAGCTGGCACTCAAATGTGGGTGTTTCTGGATGCTGATGTGATCCAAAGTAAACACATCTACAGTGAATGCTTACGTTTGCAGAAACTTTGCAACCTGCAATCACTGTGGCACATCAGGGAGGGGAAAGGCTACCTGGACACTTTGTTCCTGGAGGCAGTCACACTCCTTAGGATAGCTTTATCAAATACAGTCAACAGGATGGCGTGATTGCAAGGTCAGGTGATCCAGAGTGCAGAAGCCTCAGTCTATAATTATCCAAGAAGTTTGAGATCTTTTTCAGCTTCTTTGCACAAGAGTGAGGGCTGCAGGATGGATGAGCAAACTCAGTATGGCACCCATGGTAAAGGAAGCTATTCAAGGGGGTGTAGTAAGAGGGAATGTAATGGTAGTAGGAGACAGTATAGTGAGGGAGAGTAGCAAAGTGTGTGAGTACAGATGGCTGTATCTGCCTGGTGCAAGGGTTTGGGATATGTGCTCTGGGCTGAAGAATAACCTGCAATGAAAATAGGAGGATCTAATAGTCATCACAGAATCACAAAGTGTTACATAGAACACAGAATGATACATAGCATGGAACATGCAACAGTACATATGGTGCAGAAGGAGGCTATTCGGCATATTATGGCTGCGTCGGCTCTTCAAACAAACATCATTACCTAGTATCAATCTCTTGCTTTCTCCCATATTGTTGCACATTATTTGAAACCAAATGATCATCCAATGTCCACTTGAATCCCTCAATTGAACCTGCCTCCACCACACCTCCAGAAAGGACATTCCATACTGTAACTACTCGCTTTGTGAAAACGTTTTTCTTCACTTCACCCTTACTTCTTTGGTAGCTTACTTTAAATCTACGCCCTCTTGTTCTTGATCATTTTATGTTTCTGTTCAAACAATTATCTAATGTCCTCTCGAATGCCTTGACTGAACATGCCTTTGTCACACCTCCAGACAGTGCATTCTAAATCATAACTACTCACTGTATGAATTTTTTATCATATCATATTTGATTCTTTGCAAATCTGTGTTCTCTTGTCCTCAATCCCTTAATGAGTGGGAATAGTTTCTCAATATCTGTTCCATTTGGACACCTCATGATTTTGAAAATTTCTGTCAAATCTCCTCTTAGCCTTAATAAGACCATAAGTCTGCTCCACCATTCAGTAGGATCATGGCTGATCCAAAATTCCTTCCATCCACTTTCCTGCCCTTTCTTCATAACCCTTGATTCCCCCAACTGATAAGAATCCATCTACCTCGGTCATAAATCTCTCTCAGCAATGACTCTGCCCCTACAGCTCTTTGTGCAAGGAGTTCCAAAGACTCATAACCCTCTGAGAGAAGAAATTCGTCCTCGTTTCAGTCTCAAATAGATAGCCATTTATTCTGAGACCACGTCCTCTGGTCCTAGACTCTCCCATGAGGGAAAATATCCTCTCAGCATTTACCCTGTCAAGTCCCCTCTCTTTCTTGTTTTGAATAAAGCAGTCCCAATGTCTTCAATTTATCGTCACAAATGAAATTTCTCATTCCTGGAGAACTCCTTCTGCATTCTCTTCAATGTGTTCACATCCTTCCCAAAGTGTGACACCCATAACTGTATACCATACACTACCTAAGGTCTAATCAGTGTTCACCAGTTCTTTGTTATTCACATCACATATATCTGTAGTAAATTCTCACAGTCAAACTAAAATGCAAGAGGAAGACCTACTAGCTTATGTATGTCTTCAACGAGCTTGTGCAAAGTCCTTGGAGTTAGCAAAAAGTAATTCAGCACTTGCAATATCACTCCCCGCATATTTTTGAAACTTGAAGCAACAAAGAAAGCATCCAAAATAAGTAGAATTGAGGTCATATCATCATATTTTTGGTGATTAAGTGTGTGCATGTTAAGCTGTTTATCAAACTGGCATCCAGCGCACATCATGGCTGAAACATATACACTATACACAATTTGAAACCTTGAAGACTCTGCTTGTTTACAAATAAATGGAGCTCAATTTTGCCTCCCAAGTTCTCTTTCCTGCACATAGAATTAAGACTCCTACTAAAATAAGAAAGAAAAAAGTGAAGAGAAGAAGGAAAAGAAGAAAACGGAAGAAATAAAACATGATTAAAACTTCAGGAAATTCCAAAGCATTTTACACCAAACAAAGTACTTTTGAGGTAAAGTGTAAATGTTTAAGAAACACTGTAAGAGCTCACAAATCATAATGTCATATAGGCCAGAAAAACTGTTTTAATGCAGATAACTGAGGAATAACTCCCTGCTCAGACAGAACCTTAGTTTACATTTCATTAGTACTGCACTGAAATGTCAACATAGTTTTTAGAGCTTATATCTCTAGAGTCAGATGTGAATGCTCAATCTTCAAATAAAGAGGCAACAGTCCTACCAACAGAGATACAGCTGACACAGTACGATTAAGATTAAGGTTATGGTTGAATCTTCCAGCAAGGAAAGCTTTATTCTGTTCTTGCCTGAGCTATAGTTAACTGTGTACAATTCACTCCCTACGTATCAAGATGAGAAAGTATTCAGTTCTCCTACAGTAGCATGCCTTTTAAAACGGTTATCATTTCAGTCCAAATGCACCATTTTAGGTTGCAAATTGTATTCAAAAAGAAGGCAAGAAATTCTATTAAAAAAAGTACCTGTTCTGTTCTGTTCTTTGTTGATTTCAGTGTTCCCAGGAGAGGTGGAAAGTCTACTCTCTTGTTTTGCCTGTTTGCTGAAATAGATACGTAAAAGTATTTGTAAAACAAGGATTACAATTTAAGTCTATTGAGAATAAAAACAAAGATTGCCTTCTGATTTTTGACAATTCCATAATACAGAATTCATAGCTTATGCTTTATTGAATATTGTGCAATCAATCACCATTGTAATTTTGGCTGTAGAAACGATGAAACATAAAATGATTTGGACATTGTGATAGTCAAAATAAATATAATTTAGTCTTTGTAAAGTCAAGAAAATCTCCACAAAGAACAAAGTTAATTTGGTAACACGGTGTGGAGCTGGAGGAACACAGCAGTCCAGGCAGCATCAGAGGAGCAGGAAGGCTGACGTTTTGGCTCGGGACCCTTCTTCTTAAGAAGTGTTCCTCCAGCTCCACACTGTGTTATCTCAGACTCCAGCATCGGCCTATCTGACTATCTCAAAGTTAATTTGGTAATTTATGTAGATAGTGAATACATCAGAAATATTCAGATGAATATCAGGTTCAAGACGTGTTCCAAGGGGATACCCATTGCAAATGTGGCTGGAAAGCATCTGCTGCAATATTTTACTTAGTAAATAGAGGATTACGAGACTCAATTGACAAACCATTAAAGGAACTTGTATCAGAGATAGTAGGAACTGCAGATGCTGGAAAATCTGAGATAACAAGATATAGAGCTGGATGAACACAGCAGGCCAAGCAGCATCATAGGAGCAGGTTCGCTGACGTTTCGGGCCTAGACCCTTCATCAGACCCTTGTTATCTCATTAAAGGAACTTAATTGTTTTTCAGGAAGGAAGAAGCAGTAGTGTAAAATCGGAAATTTATTCTTTGTGAGAGTGCTTATAATTTTGCCAACCTTTTCCTTAGGACCTCTCTAGCCCTGGAACAATCTAATATTGACTCCAGCACAAATTCATCACTGTGATTTTATTAAAACTGTATCAAAAGAAGATATTTATTTAACAGGCTTCCAAAAAAATAGCAATCATATGTCTGGAATTCTAAGTGAATGAGCTCATATAAGTATAAGCTTTAGCTAGGATCTTCCCAAAATAGTAAAGATTCCGCAAGAGAAACCCAGAGCCTGTGAAAGTTAGAAAGTCCACCAGATCTTCCAGTCAGAAGGTGGCAATTCCAGAACACAGCAATGCCTTTACAACATACCCCAGACTCCCAGGGAGAAGGATCACTTATGGGAAATGTTAAGAGCTATTAGGTGGGGGAGAGAGTGTGGTTCTCAGGTTCAGAGTTGGAGAGACAGAGGAACTAAAATCATTGTAATGGCTTTCAGCACCAACAACCAGCAGTAAACCTGGTCCCTTGATTGCAGACAGGTTATGCAGATTCAGGGACCTCCACCTCCAAAGGAACAGCACCAGGCATATCTAAAAATGAGGTGTCAAATCAGTGGAGCTACAAACCAAGGCTATTTTCATACCAAACAGTTTAATCAGCAAGTGATAGATAGACCTAAGCGATTCCATAACCAATGGATTAGTTCTAAACTCTGCAATCCTGCCATATCAGTTGTTTTTGGTGGTAGACAACCAAACAACTAACTGGGGGAGAAGGCTTCACAAATATTGCAATCCACATCAAAGCAAATGTAAGGCTGAAGATCATAACAATATATAGGAGCAGAATTAGGCTATTTGGCCCATCTCATTTGCTCTGCTCTGCCATTTGATCATGGCCATTATGTTTCTCAACCCTGTTCTCCTGCCTTCTCCTCATAACCCTTGATCCGCATACTAATCAAGAATCTAATTATCGCAGTCTTAATTACACTCAACATTTTGGTAATAGAACTGAAGATCTGCGCTCCAGAACGTGTTGCACCCCTAGCCTAGCTGCTCCAGTGCAGCTACTATCGACTACCCAACAGTGCGGAAGATTGTCCAGGTATGTCATGCATATATTAAGCAAAAGAAATCTGACCGAGCCAATTGCCACCCCATCAGTCTACTCTCGATCATCAGTAAAGTGATGAAGGGTTTCATCAAAAGTGCTATCAAGCAGCACCTGCTCATCAACAACCTGCTCACTGATGCCCAGTTTGGGTTCCACTCAGGGCCACTCAGCTTCTAACCTTATTACAGTCTTAATCAAACAAAAGAGTTGAATTCCAGAGATGAGTTGAGAATGACTACATATTTGACCAAGTGTGCCATCAAGTAGCCCTAACAAAATGGGAATCAATGGGAATCGGGGGGGGGTGAGGGAACTCTGTCTCAGAGTCACACCTGGCACAAAGGAAGATGGTTGTGGTTATTGGGGGTCAGTCATCTCAGCTCCATGACATCTCTGCTATGGTTCCTGAGGGTAGTATCCTAGGCTTAATCATCCTCGGCTACTTCATCAACAACCTTAGCTCATTATAAAGTCAGAAGTTGGAATGTTCACCAAAGAATGCACAATGTTCAGCACCATTCATGACTCTTCAGATATTGAAGCAATCCATTCCAAATGGAGGAAGAACTCGACAATATCGAGACTTGGGCTGGAAAGTGGCAACATTCACACTACCAAATGCAAGGCAATGTCAATCTCCAATAAGAGACAGCCCAGGAGGTTACCATTTCTGAAGAAGGGTCCCGACCCGAAACATCAACTTTCCTGCTCCTCTGATGCTGCCTGCCCTGCTGTGTTCCTCCAGCTCCACACTGTGTTAGCCATATAAGTACTGTGGCGAAAAGAGCAGGTTAGAGGGCTAAGAATCCTGCAGCGAAAACTCACCTCCTGACTCCTCAAAGCCTATCCACCAACTGCAAGACACATATTAGGAATGTGATGAAATACTCCCCATTTGCCTGGGTGGGTGCACCTCCACAACACTCATGAGGCTTGACAAAATTAAGGACAAAGCAGCCCACTTGATTGGCACAACATCAACAAACATCCAATCCCTCCACCACCGATGCTCAGTAGCCACAATGTGACTCATTTACAAGATGCACTTCTAAGATCCACTAAGGCTCCTTTGCCATCACATTTCAAACCCATCACCACTTGCATCTGGAAGGATAAGGCATCAGACGCATCGGGAAAACCACCTCTAAGATCCCCTTCAAACCACTCACCATCTTGAGTTGGAAATATATCACAGTTTTTTTGTGATATTTGGGTGAAAATCTTGGAAATTCCCCCTTAACATCATTGTGGATCTACATACAACACATGGACTGCAGTGGTTCAAGGAGGCAGTTCACCACCACTTTCTCAAGGCCAACAGGAATGAAGAATAATTGCTGGCCCATCCAGTGATGCCCACATCTCATGAATGAAAGAAAAAAGCTCACACTGGTTAATTTGTCATGGAACCCAACCTGATGTTGTGCCAATAGAATATCCCAGAGAAGAATAAAGAAAAATATAACAGCGATTAAGGTAGCACAGTGATAATACTACTAGACGAGTAATACAGAGGCCTGGATTAGTAATGTAAAAAAAGTCATTTGGTAGTACAAAACTTGAGCTTCACTGAGGAAAAGATATTTTGAAAGGCTTTTCATCTTGCATTTTTAAGGATAATTTGCAAGAATATCAATTCAAGGGATCATGCTATATGACAGGAGACTGTTGATTGGTAACAGCATTGCCATAGAGTTAATGCTGATTGACAATTTACAATCAGGCTTTGTTTAAATTTTAAACAAGGGAGGTTAACTCTGATTGGTCAGGGTATTGCCCTGAGAAATTAACGGTGAATAGCTGCACCTATTTTGTTGAGTTGAAACAGATACAGTGAGTACACATTATTTCTGTCTGCAAAGAACAGGCCTGCGTGTTAATATATTTAGCATCCAATATATACAATATATACAGTAACCGACTGACAATCCTAAATTGGTTGTCAAGATAAATCTTTGCACATTCAGGATTATCCAGCAAATGTTGTCCAATTGAGGACTCACATCTAATGGTGGACGCTGTTGTGGTTGGTTGGTTGGGTATGGTCAGTACTTTGGTTGCTGCAGGCAGCCAAAGGAACCTGTTTTCTCATACAATCTGCTAGATTTTGGAATATCCGATACATACTTGGCATCACATTGGCACTGAAATTCACATAGCATATTACTCAATTGTATGATAGGTAGAACATTTTTGTGGCTTGATGGCAGCATCCTAGTAGTCACTAGTGGCAATAGCCACTCATGTTGTACTGCACAGCTTCACCTGTTGCTCAAAAATTTGAGATACTTTACCCTTCCACAGTGATCTGAGGTAGGCTGGGAACTTTTCAGGATCAAGGACAATCACCTTAGTGCCTTTCATGACAGTGTATACTGCACAATGAGAAATGATTTGATCACAATAGCTATTATCCTGCATGGATGAGCCAATTTTTTTTTTGTTTATTCATTAACAGGATGAGGGCGTCACTGGCTTGGCAGCATTTTTTGCCTATTTCTAATTGCCCTGAGGGCTGTTGAGAGTCAACCACATTGCTGTGGGTCTGGAGTCACATCTAGGCCAGACCAAGTAAGGATGGCAGTTTCCTTCCCTAAAGGACATTGGTGAACCAGATGGGTTTTACTGACAATCGACAATCGGTTCATGGTCATCATTAGATTCTTAATTCCAGATATTTTATTGAATTCAAATTCCACCATCTGCCTTGGCAGGACTCGAACCCAGGTCCCCAGAATGGTACGTGAGTCTGTGGATTAATAGTCTAGCAATAATACCCCTAGGCCATCACCTCCCCTGCAGGGATGAAAATCTCCAAGGCCAATATTTTCATCCTAAAGATTGATAACAGTGTTAAGCTTGTTCAATCAGGAGTAAAACTAATTTTACAAGTTTGGTGATTCATTCTTTAGAAGAAAATTTTTAAAATGCAGATTTGAGGTGAAGTGAAATGTTGTAGTCTGGTGTTTAGGTTTTGATCTTCATCCCACGTGTATGTTCCAGTGCTCTTTGCATAATAATTTGAATCTTTTGGAATTCTTTCATTTTGAAATGATTGATCACTCTGATTGGTGGCCTAATTCCTGAATACA